AGGACTAGTCAAATCATTCCATTGATATGGGCGATAGACTTACCTCCACGTGGTGCACCCTGGGCAACGTATACTCATACGGCAAAAAGTCTATTAACTGGCAGTTGACTTCTGACTTCAAAATACTATGGCCCAACTGCTTGTCATATTCGACCCCTTCCAGAGTACTCATCTTACCTTTTTCCCTACCTTTATGTCTGTCTGCCTCTTTTACATATGTGAATCGCTCTTCTATTCCCCACCCATCGATTTTCTGCTTCTTTGATGAACCTTCCCTCTGTGAAGCCCGAAGTCAGCTAAATGGCTAATGATAGCTATCAAAACGCCTGCCATTTGAGATAAATAAATAAATATGGGCAGAATGACCACGTTGTGTTGAGAAAGTCTTTCAATAAAACATCAACGTGTAATTCCTATTCATCATTTTCCCTGACTTCAAACCAAGTAGTGATGGGGATCGTAAGAAGTAAAAAATATGATCCCTCACTTTGACTGAAATCTCCACGACAGCTGAATGACCGACCATCTACATGCGTAGACTTTCATCAAGTATATTTATTCAAATTGGCAGACAAGTACAATGAATATCATGACAGCAGAGCACAACTTCATTATAATTCAATCATTAATACAAGGAGAACGAGAGTCTTTGCGCAAAATTTCCAATCATATTTTAGCGTACACCTGTTTCGAGATGACTTAATGGTTTAAGTAGGAAGAACCATTCGACAAATTTATGCAATAAGCATACCTAATAGCGCGACAACCGAGCCATCCTCGTCCAATATCTCTAGCGATCCACTGCACACGAAGTAGAGATTGCGTATAGCATCGCCTCTATGAACCAGAAATTCACCCGGTGTAGCGAAGCGGGTCCCAATCAATTGAGCAATGCTCTTTTGACAGCCAATACTCGCTGCTTTGAAGATGGGCAAGGAGAGCATTTCCCGATTTATGTGCATGGCAATATCTCCGCGCATCTCCTCGGGAAAGACTTGCATTATCTACAATAATCACATTATGGACTCGATGAAAGCCAATAAAAACGTCAACCCTATTTACAAAACACCATTCTCCTACAACCTAACAACTCCAATAACCGATTAGCAAATAGAGGTAATTGAAATTTCCTCTCTAAAGTTCTTCCCCAGGCTGCCTAAGCTGATACTGAATTTTATTTATCTTTATGAGCCTCAAAATGTTACTCAAAAAGACAACTTTTATATCCTGCATTTCAGAATTATATTTCTAGCAATATTGGCGGTATTGGTATGGTGCATTAGAAACAGAAGCGAATATCTAAACTTTTATAGATACCCCTACTCAGGACACATATCTTTTAAAATTCAGTGCTGTTTGGGAAAAATGGTTTTTAAGGTGCTTCTTTTAAGAAAATTGTGCGATTGGCTTTGCCACAAAATTAAATCTTTTGCAGTTTAATATTAGCAATTTGTCTGAACAAGTTGAATCGTGAGGGGAGCTGTATTTAAATTCAAGACAAATTATTCTCAAAAGGGAAAGAATTCACATTTTATTACCACAATGTTCATCAACTGGCTCCGAATGTCTTAGGTGCGACAACATTTACCACCACGAAATGTCATACAGGTTCAATTCATGTTTATTTTTTTTACCCAGGAACAGGTAGATTGGCAAGCATACTTACCATGGTAAAAAACTATAGTAAATTATACATTAAATGTTCTTTGGTAAAATGTCCTTTGTAGGTAATATTGGAGTGTCAACCTGAGAGTTCTTTAAAAGAGATATCTGTCACAATCGTGAGTATTTGGTATATGACTTCAATACTTGCTGGAAACATTCGGTTTAGTTGGCAGAAGATGAGAGTAAAGCTGAAATTTACCACTGTGTCAAGACAGGATATATATATATATATATTTATTTAAAAACATTAATGCTTGGGGTATTGATCCATCCTGTCCAGCCTGACTCTTTTTCAGTTCTTTACATAGTTTAGTTTTTTATTGACTCATCAATCCCTGCTTTCAACTTCTGTTTGGGTGCAACTTATCTAACGAAAGTCCTTGCGATATTGTTAAGGCAACATAAATGTGAAACCAATTCAGGGGAGAGGAAGGGGGGTTGGGAGACCTTTATTCAGTTAATAGGCGGGAAAATAATTATCTTCCGTTGGCCCAGTGGCAAATGCACCTGTTGGGGAAAATAGAGGTTAAGACACTTTGGAGTACATTTGGTGGTGTTTGACCAACAACCTTGATTGATCCTGATCCAAGAAAAGGGATGGCAAAAAAGGAGGCTTGCACCAAGGACGATTCAAGCCAATCAGTCAAAGCATATCTTTTAGGGGGTTTGGGAAGCCGTTCCTATAGTTCAATCTCATAAACCATGGTACAAATGCATATACCCAGACGGGGAAAAGTGTTTTAAGCTTATTTCATCTAGTTTTATATGCATTTTACGATCTTTTAGTAAGGCAAGCGCGCAGATCAATGTGAGCTCTTCATATTTTATGACTCTAATGTTGACGTTTTCACCACAAGTTTCTGCATCTGTTATTTCAATAAATACCCTCCCCCTCACCCCCCCCCAACTTTTGATATTAAGATGCAAAACCGACTGGGCAGTCAGACGAAGAGAAGAAGCTACAGGCGTCAACATTTGACGCTGCTTACTTGACTGGCTAATCATTTTATTGAATGGTGATATGTATCAAAGGTGGATTGAATCTTTCCACCACACGAATTATTTTTAAGCCAATTTCTCAGAAAGACCCGCACACACACACACGTAATGAATATTACTTAACTTATTTCAAGTTATAGGAAATGGTTAATTGAAAACATTTCCAGCTTATTAAGTGGATACTGTCCTCTATAATGGCTTACTACTTCGAGTATTTAGTCGAACGAGTGGTATTAGTATCCACTTTACCAACTCTTGTATGAAGTAAACTCAGGTGAGCTCTGCCAGGTTTAAATTACCATTCCTTATCTCACCAGCTAGCTTTAGGGTGCAAGAGTACCCAAATGAATGATTGGCATGACAATCCACAGAATTCGCACAAGTTGGCAGCAAAGCTTCGAATAATGTGGACATAACTTCAATCAACTAAGCAGGGACTAAGCTTTGAGAATTTAAATTTTACAAAACAAATTACACCATTATGATCTTTGACATTCTTCCCTTAACTACGACCTTCCAGCTTCATTCATTACAATTTTATATATATCGCATTTAGTTGTTATTACAATGAAGAAGAAATTATCCTGAATCATAACAAGCATTGAAATAGGCGTAAAGGTTTCCATTTAACCAAGATGATATTGATTACACTTTAAAGTTAAAAATAGAATTCCATTTTTTCAGTCTACTTAATTAATATTTGCGTATTTTTGTTAGGATTTCGTGAATAAGAATGTGTCACTCCAAATGAATAGCAATTTTGTCAGTTAGAGTTTTAGGCTTAAGGAATAGTATTTCACAAATTTGGATTTTGCTTGTTCACACTAGAAAGATACAATTAAAAATAGAAATGATTTGGGATTTTTACAGGGAAAAAAATCTTAAGACCAATAATGAAAAAACTTTCCATTTTGAGTTAAAATCTTAGCTTTACCAATTCACAGGATTTAAGGTAATTAGAAAGTTAAGCAGCTTTTTAAAACATTTAAACAAAAGCGTTTGAGCTCAAAAATGTCAAGATTTAACACAGTAAGACAACAGTTTTAAAAGTTTTAAAACACACAATTTTTACTGTGCATCCATATTTTCCTACTCACTGTTAATGTTAACGAATGAAATCCACCTAAAGGAAAGTCGCCTTCACATCTATCAATCAATAATTTATTTATTGCTTTTATTGAATAATTTTTGTTTAAATCACATTAGGAACTAGTAAAATATCGAATTTTGGGCCACTTAAAGATTATGCACTTCTACTATAAGTGAATTGCTATTAAGCTTGTTATTTCATCCAAAATGTTAATTAGATTTAATAATCAAATTCAATATTCGTATAATTAAATTTAAGTAAAATGCAGATCAATCCCCAGACTAGTGGAACAGTTTGAAATGAACTTTGGGTTAATAAAATAGTAGATTTTTTGACTTTTAAGTCCTACTTGACAAGATGAAAACAGGAAATATTTGCAACTTGATTGAATTTCACTTTCCCCAATGCCAATTCATTAAATTACTTATTGGATAATAGTATTAAATTAGAGAAAATTCCACTACTTCGAGATTACTATTCATACCAGGCCTAGTTAACCTGGGTGTAGGATGGAGTAATTTTGGTGAATTTACGTTGCTAAACTGCGTTATTGAAGAGGATTAAATGAAAAGCGGTTATAAAAATATCTAAACATGCATTTATGCCGATATTTAACTACAACTGGTGAGTATTTGGGACTTCATCAACCTTTGGAACTAACCTACAGATTAATACGTTTAGAATGTCAAAGACTTGAAGTCAATCAGAAATTCATGCATAAAATCATGAATCCTAGGCCTACCGATTGAAATATTGTCACTATTTGAAAATGTGGACGGTTTGTTTATTTGAGCATTTGAACAAAATTACTATATTTTTCAAAAACATTAAGATTTAAATAATTTATGCTTTTATTTATTCTTTTCAATTATTAAAAAACATGGAAGATTCAGTTAGGCGGGCTAACTATGTGATTGCGTAAACATTACGTCATTTCGTCTTTAGTAGCCTGACACTTGGCAAATCTTCAAAGTCTTTTTTAAAGAGCTTTAAAACCATTTGTTGAGGCACTAAAATTTTGCACAAACCAGGGATACTTAACTTGATGCCCTAACTCAACACCTTATTTCTACATTCTTCGCCATAATTTTGAATTTTTACAACCTTCCACTTGATTAAAGTAGCAAAAGTTCCGCCTTTTCTTCGCCAATAATAAGAATAATTGAAATTAAAACGAATATTAACAAATGTCTCAGCGAACCAATCAGCAGCAAAGCAGCTTACCTGATACTGTGTACGACTATGAAACAAAATTGAAGTGGGCGAAGTAACTTAAGAACCTAAAACGCAGATTTTTTGAAGGGGCTGGAGAAAACAATAACACTTTTATGAAAATGGCAAACAACAACTGGACAAACAGACCACTTTAAATTTGTGTGATTTGTGTGTTTTCATAGCCATGGGTCTATTGGAACTTGTGCGTATGTACTCTGAGGATGGATAATGATCTTACGATATCAATTTGACCGTCAGTTCTAAGTTATGTTCAGATTAAAACTTGAAGTAGTCTTTTATCTTCACTTAATTGATAATGCTCTCGTACTTCCCACTTTGCTTATTCCCTACTTCGAGTGAAGTTTCAACCTATCTGCCCACCGTGTTTGACCTTGAAAGCCTTGCATTTAAAAAATAATTTTAAAGGGGCATCTCTCTCTCTTCAAGCCCTCATTATTGCAGTTTCGACCAAAAATTATAGAAATCATAATGAAATAAAGTAAACATTATGGAAGATTCGCTAAAGCATTTTTATCACAACAGCTGCTTCGGAAAAAGCAAGCTGCTGCTAGCCGGAAGTTAAAAAAACACCATCTATTTTAATTACTATTAATCCAAAAAATTAAAATGAAATGCAATCAATTTTATTGGACAAATAATTGAAGGAATTTGCTGTGCTTCGAGGTCTGAGTAAACACTTTTTATCTTAACTCTCAGTAGTTGCACACAAAGGGTTTTCGATAAGCCATTCAGGAAATCGATAACATTAGAACCAAGTTTGAATCTCCCCCACATACAGGAGTTAAGAAAAATCAGAAATGAGCATAAAAAGAGAACACCTCTTTATCAATACTTTGGTAATAATTCATTTGTGAAAATAAACGAAGCCAATGAATATTGCATATCAGCGATAAATATGCACTGAGTTCTTCAAATTGCATCGCTGAACGCACAGTTCTTTACCATTGTACCTTTTGAGGGAAGACTCCATAATTCATCTTCACAGAAAGCAAAATTTTGATTTATGCTCAGTTTCTGAAATCATTCATTTCCTGTTTTACATTCTTAAGAAAACATTGATTAACAGTTTAATCAAAGCGAAATATTGAATTCGGAGCTAACTCATTAATTTGATGTTTAAAATTTGCTTAGAGGTTTTCTGATAAGCAAATGTTTTACAGAATTTTTGATAGAGGTATCATTTCGTTACTTGATTCTTATTCATTTTCCATTTCAGATTAGAGACCACTTTTATCAAGTTATGGCTCATACGGCCGTTTTACTTTCAGCTACAATGTGCGTAGAAAATTGAGATCGGAATTGCTTCCATGTGCTGTTCTTAAAGTCAAAATTCCTGAAATTGCTATTCATAACTATAAAATCTGTTGATATAGATTAATTGACCTCCCTTGAAAAATATATGCTGAAAAATCAGAGCTCGTATCGGAACAGCTCTAAGCTTGCTCAGCATTTGTTTGATTTATCTCACTAGACATTAGATTATCATGCATGAGGTAAATGACCACTTTGCACTTGTTTAGCTAATTAATCAGCCTTAGAGATTAAGAGGACATTGATGATGACTTGAATGGCCCTTAAGTAAAAGAAGTTTTTTTTTTTCAAATGGCAGGCTTTATGATATTTGTCATTAGCCCTAAGTAAAAGAAGTCGACACGCAATAACTTGAACGAAAAAAAGGTGTTGTGGCAAAGGCAGAAACTCACTGTCTGCTTATCGATTCCCCTATTGATTGACCACATTGCTTGATAGAACTCAAGCATTCTCTGTCGTAGCTGTTTCGGTAAATGATGGGCTCTGGTGAAGTCCTTCAGGTCCTGATTCTTTGTTTGATAGGCTGAGCGTCGTGTATACATTCGCTGGATGATTGTTGTCACGTTTCCGAACACAGCGGCATGCATTAGAGCTGAAACAACAGAAATTAATGAAAAACTTTTTATGTATTAAAATGATTTATTAAATTCAGGGCTGTTTAATTATAACTGTCAGGTAAAGGCGGTTCAACAGACCAACAGAGGATGGAAAAAGATGTCTAAAGTCACCGTACAGTGATTCGCTTTTATATACAAAATTGAATTCTCCCATAGTTTCCAAATCTTTACACTTTAGCGTATCTCTCATTCCTTCTTATCATTTAGCATGACCTTTACACTTTCTTGGACACTTAGTCATATAATTCGAGAAAGACTACTGTTTCCTAAAAGCCAGTTGGGTAATCCCGCATTTCCCAAGGAGGTATTTCCAAACCTAACATGATCGGGTTCATTTTAGTTCTTTTCAGTGGAAATGAAGCCGCCAAGACTTCATTGTCAAAGAGCACCAAACATTTACAAGTTTAACTTGGGGAGGGGGGTATCAAATAAAATCTGTCAATGCAATGTCCAACAAAAATTAGGGGGGGGGGAGTGAAGTAAATAGCACTCGAGTTGAAGGGTCGAATTTTCAATTTGCCTAAATTTATTTGAGTTGTGTCATTGAATAATGCAGCATTAACTAGATGGTCAATTAGGAATCGCCTCCTGAATGGTAGCATGTTTTCTCCCCAAAATTCGGCTTACTGACTCGTTTTTAACCAATAAGAGACGAATCGGCAGTTAATATTCTTTTTTTACTGAAAGTACTGATATGCAAAGATGATGTCACATCATGTTCTTTTGCCCATAGTCTTAACACAGTTGAGATAAGACAACAATATAAATAAGGTTGGAGTTTCATTATGATATTGACTGTTTTGTTCGGTATAAGAAATTTTGTTGGGGACAATTTGATTTTTTTACTTCATTAGCTTAAACCTTAATTAGTGCATTTACAAGAGAGAAAAAATAACGCTACTGCGAGTTTTCTGGCAGTGAAAGTTGTTTAAAAATATGTTTTCACTTAGTTGTGAAAAAGGATGAGGTAAAACAAGTGAAGCACACATTTTCTACCATCAACAATCAGTGGCCTCTCAATTAGCCTCAAATTAATGATCAAATACTGGCTAACCAATCTTTGAACTTAACGCTCAAGAAGGGAATTTGAAGCAAATATTCGGGCACATTCGAGGTAATACTGAGCTTACCTCCAACAAGCATTGACACGATGGAGAATATCTTTTCATTGACAGTGTTGGGAGAAACATTTCCAAATCCAACGGAAGTAAGACTGCTCATTGTGAAATAGAGACTGGAAATGTAGATGCTAGTCCTATTTGGTCCACCAGTCAAATTTACTCCATAATTTGCGGATGTTCGATGTGCGAGCTCAAAAAGCCAACCTAGTGTGTAATAAAAGTTGCCTTTGAATACTCTGTTCGAAAATCTAATTAAATTTAAGATTATAAAATTGATATTATCACCATGAATAATAATGAAAGAGCTTTATTTATAACGTTTGTAACGAAAGGAAGCACGATGAAACACCCTTGCATAAAAGTCGAATTCTCCCGAACTTAATTTGTGAGATCAGTAATTCCTTCTAGCATCGATGGACATCGAATTTGCGACCGCTAACTTATCAAACCAGCAATCGACCACTATGTACCAGTTTAGTGCTCTATAATCTTATTACTTCCTTGCAAATAACACCGGATTTCTAAAGTCCTTCATTATCAGAGAATAAGTTGAAAAGTCCAGTTTCGCCAGCTGGGTATAAAAAAATTCCTGACGTAACTAATGAAAAAGTGGAGGAAATAAGTCATAGTTGTCTAGCCCTTCCAATGTACCCCTTTGTACGGAAAGGAATCTTTCGGACGTCTCTATTCTATTCGCCACAGGCATAACGCTAAATAAAAAAATATTCTAGGGAAAATTATTGGAGATTATATGAATTAATCTGAGAATGGGCAGTTATATTTGGTGAATTAACTTTTATTGCAAGCTCTATTCCCAATAGAAAATGTGACGTGTTGTGAATGAGCAAAATTAACTTGCTGGTAAAGAATGAAAATTATTAAGGGAATTGAATGAAAGGTGGGTGAATGAAAAGGAGGGTGGAGGGGGGGGGGGTGGAAGGGAAACCAGGCATTTGTAACGGGTGTAAAATGGACTATTTGAAAATGACACAAGCAATTAAGCTGTGTCATTATCAGGCCTAGGTGAATGAAAATCAATAATCGAAGAAGTTGCTTACTGCCAAGGTAGAACATTATTGTATCTCAATCAATGAATAAAATTGGCACCATCATAATTAACCAGTATTTCATTGAACATGGCACTTCTTCGATAAGCATCTACTCAGGAATTTAGGTGACGTAAAATGAAACTTGAATCTTGATACGTGAAACCCTAATTTGCAAAGCTTGCACCAGAAATCAAATAATACAGACCCCCTGCGTTTAGACTTGCAAATCAACCAACTTATTCGGTTTTAAAGCCATATCAAAAATCTTACGTACTATTAACTGATTATAGCTGCTATCAACCGTAAATTCTGTAAAATTTTGATGACAAAAATGACAAGTATTTTGCGAAAATTGCACCAGAACACAAAAATAACCCGTCTTGAATTCAGCCATTAGTTTATATAATTAATTACAATCAGATGAAGGTGGCATTAACAGGAATTCAAATATGTGCTGGAACAAATTCGTTGCCTGCAAATTATTTTACCCAATCATGAGGGCTTTAAAAGAATAATGTTCCTGTTGTGTTAACAAAGTAAATAAAAGCGTTTTCTATACCTTGTGAACTGGGTAAAAAATTTTTTTAAAAACATTATGACCATGCAAAATGACTGCTCCTTAATTGCATTGGTGGGAAACGTAACCATACCAAAGGAATTCACACCAACTGGCAAAATGTAATCTTTCAGAAACAAAATTGTAATAATTATTTTTCATCTATCTGCTTGACAATCTCAAATGAAATCTGCCAAGAGGAAATCTTATCATCAATTGCTTTCAGACAATTGACTTAAAAAGTGGAGAATATTTACAAACGGACTTAATGTTTTTTTCACTTTGGCAAGGTTAAAACAAATTTCATAGGGATCATAATTTGGGAAATTTTCTTCTTATTCCCATCGAAACGTCTCAACTGTTCCCAAGAGTGAAGTTTACAAAACCGGATAGAGCAAAAACTTTTAAAATAATGCAAAAAATCAACTTGATGGTGTGGGTGGAGTAATTGTGGCGGAACTCAAGTTGAGCACAGTTTTTAATGCTTTAAATTTTGTTCATTAGTCTCTCGTACTTATGGAACAAAAATTTAATATTAATGAATATTGTTTTTGAGGATTTTAAAGCGCTGCATCAATTAGGACCATCTTTGCGCATCATATGTTAATATTTGTCTTCAAAAAATACGATATCAGAATTTGTTGTGCATCACCTCTATTAAAAAAATTATTTAATCCAGGATAGTCAGAATTTCAATACTTAATTGCAAAAAATGGGGTAAAGTAAATTTCAAAAAATGAATTAAGAGATAGGATGATTAAAAATAATTATTTGTAATTTTGTGGTATTTTATGGGAAAATAAATGAAAATGATGTGGGGACGATTTGAAAATACCCTGTTCCAAGCAAGCACTGACGATTTACCTTGATGTTTGAAGTAATTAGATTTGTCGTCTTCACCTCATTCTGAGCTTAAAGAATACAATTAAGTTAACCTTATTCTCCAACCATTTCTTAGTCTTAAAACTCTCTTCAATTTCGATCCTATAATTTATTACTCTTTAATCTATTAAGGCGTTAGATGATTTTGAAACGTTATCAACCGCCAGTTATGGCATTAGTTAGCAAAATAAACTCAGTTGCAGGTAACAAGTTGACTTCATTCATATTTTGCCTTGTCCTTGTATCGGCATTTCCGAACCAGTAACTAAAACTTCCACATCGTCAAGTTGAAAGCACAGAGCCTTCAATGTAAATGCACTATATCGCAGTTACTTGTGAAGCCATTGAAAAAAAGACCAAAAAGTCTTCACCAATTATAAATTCGTTTATTTAAAGATTCTATCAGGATCATAAGTTGGGTGATATGATGAATGATTTTCAAATTCTCTTTTATTAAATAGACAGGACTCTTCGATGCAATATGCTTTGTGCATTTTGGCAATCAGTTCAAGATTTGAAGTCTTATATGTATTGTTTATTTTCTATTCATTTCATTGAGTAGCCTCTACATTTGGACAATAATAAGCAATAGTATATTTAATAGCGCAAAATATTAACATAAAATTGTCAAATATAATATGCACCCAAGATTTTGATATGTGTCAGTCAGACAACTATTTTTTTCTATGCATGAAAGGTATGGAGTTCTGATGAGTTCCCTAGAGACTTAAGCAACTTTATAAAATAATAAAAGTAAAACAATAACTTTGTTAATTTGGATTTTAAAAAAATGTGCCAAGATGCTGTGGGTGGTCGTAGAATGAGATAGACTGTTAATGTGAAGGATTTCAACGATCTAAAACTGAAACCCTTCATTCGAGTTTAATTAACTGTATTATTTTTTAAGTCAAAGTTATCCAATTGTAGTCTCATCCAAGACAATAGCGATTTAAACCAAACTGTGAAGATGGACTTAATACCGATAAAATTGTTTTTGGTTAGTTGAATTTAATCTTACCATAGGATTCTGCTGACATTACCTAAATTAAGGTAAATTGTTTTGTCCACTTAACTTTAAAAAAGCATCACATTTGCAAAACAAATCAATAAATTGTCGTTCCATACGAGGCTGTCCAGTTTTTTCGCTGTAGAAAAATCTTGTTGCAAAAGTATGTTTTTTGAGGCGGAAGCATATTTTTTCACAAAAAATCAGATGACTTTCGGAGCAAACTATGTGGTCTTTAATTAGATTTCCATGAAAGCATATTTTAGAACAATGGAAATCATAACAATTGATTTTCTGGGAAATTCAATCAATATTTGAGACAAGAATTACGTAGAATGCTTGAAATGAACTGTACAGGTGATTTTTGCAAGAATTGCACCTGCATTTTAATATCTTTATATATATTTATATTTTTAATATTCCATTTCCCTTTGCTTTGTCCTATTGAAGGAATTATTTAAGAGAAACCCATTTTAGAAGGGACAGTTCTGTCTTCAAAAATAATGTTCAAGTAAACCCAAGAGCATCATTATGCATCTCAAGGGATAGAAAATCATACTTAGAACTTGTTCAAATTGGATAAGCTTCAAGGTAGTTGCCTCACGTGATCTCAATTGCCTTAAGAAGAAGCAGAGTGTGAAAGTGTATGTAATTCTACCACGAAAATGGTAAAATAAATAGATGACGAATTGAAACATAGTGAAACTCAATTTCAGAATAAACTATTTCTATGGCAAAGCAATATATCAAAGACAGAGCAGAGTAAAACCATTTGTTATTGACGAAAAAGATCGATAACTAACAATCGTTAGTGGGTAACAAGGTTTTAAAAAAATCCTCAAGTGGATCGAAAGTCAACCAATCAAATGACAATCTGTTGGGCTTTGACTTTAAGTCCAGTTCTAAGAGTGATCTTTTAAATTAAAAAAAAATTAGATAATAAAAATTTGAATTAACTTTAGCAACTAACTATGTCAATTCTTCTTGACCATGGACGTAAAAGCGGGGAGGAGCAGTAATTGACTGTCACCGATATCTCCACAATTTCAGCAAACGTAATTGAAATTGAATAATTCTTTCAAGAAAAAATAATTGGAAAGAAATATTGACCAAAATCTGCCTAAATAGAAAAAAATTTAATGAAATCAGGTAAAAAGTGATGACATGGTAAACTTCACTAACAGAGATGACATATTTCTATCTAGGTACACGTCATTAAAATTAACAGAGATTTTCAGAAATTGTGAGATAAAATTCCTTCCTCTCTTTCTCGACTTGAAACAGAATTTGCTTTAAATACTGCTTCACAGTTAAAAAATACCACGATAGCTCAAGAAATTTGGCTTGGGCTGTTGAAAAACCCTTTATTCGGCTCCAGCGGCATGTTTTCTCTCTTTTCTTGCCTCTCCCTCAATTGGAGATTATTGAAAGAAAATTATTTTAATTATTGCTGAAATATGTACGTTTGAATAGTATCTTAATAAGATTATTTAAAAAATGTCGCATAGCTGCTTTTCTATCAGCATATTCCTTTAATTAAACATACACACATGAATGGACAAATGCGGATTAACTCTTTACTAAAAGTGGTAAATTTTAAAATTCGTTAAAGTATATGCTTACTTTAGGTTAAATTAAGGAAAAATATGTAATTTTAAACCCACAGATAAAGCATTGTATTCTCACCAATCTTCGAGCCAATTTTTTTGAATGTCTAAAATCAATTCCTTAATGGTCTTGATCGGTTAATATTTACGTTGA